CAAGGCTGACAACTCATGTGTTGTACAGGGTGGTTCTATCCTTTCACACAATCCTCTTAAAACACATCTTCTTCAAGTTACAAGAACCACCTTTAAAAAACCTCTCCCATGAAGTCAATGCCGACTCATAGCGACCACATAGGACAGGGTAGAACTGCCCCTGTGAGTTTCTGAGACTATAATTGTTTACAGGAGTAGAAAGCCCTGTCTTTCCCCTTCAGAGCTGGCTGGTGATTTTGAACTGCTTATCTTTCGGATTGCAGCCCAGTGCATAACCATTATGCCCCAGGGATCCTATAAGAACCACACTAACAGTTTATTCTGACTCTATATTGATTTGTTCCGTGTTTGACTTTTGCTTTCAATGCTTACCTGGGATCTCTGTACAAAACACACTCACACACAAGCGAAACCTTCTGATTTACATTGGTAAGACATTGCATTTGAGGTTTTATTTTCCCCTTTGACTGGAAAAAATCACTCATTTGTCAACCCTTCTCCTTAATGACAGAACTCATGAACAAGGGGGACAGAGGAAATAATCACCATAGAATTTAAGGAGATCTGGTGGCACTGTCAGGTTAGCACTGGATTGCTAACCACAAGGCCCACAGTTCAAACCTACCAGTGGCTCCTAGGGAAAAGATGAGGCTATCTGATCCTACAAAGATTTGTAACCCTGGAGATTCTATGTAGGGTTATTATGAGTCAGCATTGACTTGATGGCAGGCATTGGGCTTGCTTTTGTTTGTTTGGGTTATGGTTAATCAGCTCAGAGATGAACTATCTAACCTTGTCACGGGCTTCATATGCAACATCTTTGAGCTGACTGAACTGAATAAAAGACATTAAAAGCTAGTGCCTTCCTTTTAAAGCTATGGCACTATATTACATATTTTCATGGCTAATCAAAATTTACCAAAGCGCATCAACAGGTGTTCATTGAGAAACATTAGACATGCTATGATTGTTAACTACAACTGCACATGAATTTGCAGGCTACAGATTTCAATATTGTTAAATGAGCTAGCAAAACGAATACACACACATACACAAGATACGCACACACACAAGATGAACATTTTTGTCTCCATTGTTGCAACATGTTATCAAATCAACAGCCTGGGTTTCTGACCTGTGCAAAGATGGCCTCTAAGATCTCAGCATGCTTCTCATATGGCTGGTCAAAGTTCATGTCCTTTGTCTTCTTGACCGCCTCCTCAATCATGGCCACAACCTCTGGATGCTCTGCAGTCACCTCTTCTATTGTGTCTTCTATTGCAGCTGAAGTCAAGACAGTTAATCAATGAGTGTCACCAATGATCTCAGAGGACAGTGTTATGGCACATGATTGTGGATTGTTACTACCTTCCCAGGAAAGTGCTGCCTTTGTGTGTGCCTGCACCACACGCTGGAAGAAGAGGGAGACACGACTAGGAGGAGGGAATGTTAATTCAGGAATCTCAACACTTCACACCTGGCATCAGAACAGAGGCGAAGGAGCAAAAGGAAAATCAAGCCAGATAGGCATCCACCCTAGGAGCCAGAGAATTCCGGGGTCTAGTGAAAAGCTGTGTAGACAGGGAATGAGTCAGAAAATCAGGTGAATGCTACCAATGACAAGCATGGGACTATGTAGGGCAGTAGGGGGACAGGAGGGAGGCAAGTTGGAGTGGGCAAGGAAAAGGGTGGTGGTTCTGATATCAACTTGCTTTTGGTGCTGATGTGTCTCCTGGTGTGGCCCTTGGGCTGCATCCTGATCTGAAAGCTCAGCCTTTGCACTAATGGGACAGGAAATTGGTGCCTTTACCTAGCGCGTCTGCCTCCGTATTTCTCGACATGCTTTCCGAGCTGTGGTCCCTGGGCTCTTCCATCTGACATGATCTCTGGCTAAGACCCGATTGAGCCCAGCCCAGAAAAACCCACAAGGACCTTCAAAGAGCAGCCACCTGCCTTGTGTCCTGCCCTGTTCTCAGGGATGGAAAGACCGGGCAGTGCCCAGCAAGCACCATGTCTTCCTGAATGAAGCCTTGCTAGTAGGGGCCAAGATGAGGCAGAAATAATCAGACAAAGATGATAAGATGTGCTAGCAGCTGCAAGCTGTCGACCCAATATTCATTCACCCCTTCCTTCCTGAGTAAACAAACTCACTGCCACTAAGTCGATGCCAGCTCCTAGCCATCCTATAGGAGAGGGTAGAACTGCCCCATGAGTTTCCGAAACGATGCGGTTTACAAGAGTAGAAATCCCTGTCTTTCTCCCGAGAAGTGGCTAGTGGTTTCAAAGTGCTGACCTTTCAGATGGGATCCAGCCCAATGCATCACCCCTGTGCCAGCAGGGTGCCTTCATTAGTCCTAGAATCCTAATATCTTTCTATTTCATTTGTCCCCCAATTTTCTGAAATCCCCTTGTACAATGTATTCCACTTAAAAGGTAACCTATCACAAATAGCTGCGTATACAAAAACAAACATAGGAACATGCCATGTGTTCTCCTTATAGTCTTTTGCTCCAGAACCTTTCACATGTGTGCTTTTTAAAAATATGTTTTTGCATGCTCCACTATTGGTGACGGAGTACCCTTCATGATGGAGTAAGTTGTACAGTTGGACTTCAAAAACTTTGAAGGAAAAATGGAATAGAAAGATAGTGGAGGGTGCTCCAGTGGCGCAATCGGTTAGCACACGGTACTTATAAGAAAGATAGTGGAATTTTTTCACAAACTTTTTGAAGCCCTTTATATATTAATAGTGCTTTTAAACAAAACACCCCACACGTTCCTCCTTCCAAATTCTGAAGGAGCTATTGTGTTTTATAGAACATCAGTTGAAGATAATCAAATTAGTCCAATAATAATTTACCTTTTGGGGGAATACAATTTTGGTAGTCCTGACTAGAGTGTTGAGACAGTCTCTTAAATTTGGACGTACTTTCTCTGATTTCTTTTCCTTCTGTGAATATAACATTGCTAACACCCTGAGAATCTTAAAGAAAAGTGTAGCTGGATCCCCAAGAAAGCTTGTAGTGTGAGTGGGACTAGGTATCCAGTACTCATATCGCCCAATTTTTACTGAAGCAGCCTTCAAATCAAGACAACCACATCTATCAGTGGTGGAAAGTAATGATGGTGGTCTCAGTTTATGTGTCAGTGAGTCTAACAGTTGGAAGGCAGCATCAACATTGACCTTTCTGAGGTGACTAGCACCTTCCTGACTCCACGAGGCCAGTAAGACTGCCCTCCTCTCAAAGCCGTGGGGAAAGGACTGTGTGGTGCGGATGAGAACTCCTTTTCACCACGCACACTAGCAGGCCAGGTGGGGCACAGTGATGTCGTTGGTAGGGCTCTGCTAGTCCCAGTCTTTGTCTCTCTCACCAAGCAACTGGGTTTATTTCCTCTTTTTCTGACGGAGGTGGGTGGAGAGGAAGTGGGATGAGACACTCAAAGGCATAGACACTTCAGTTGGGAGTGTGTTAACAGTGTTCATCGGGATTGTAGACTTGGAACACTAACCAGGGCATTGGCCAGCATGCCATTCCACTGGGTGGTAAACAAGCCATCTCAGAAGCAGGAAGAGGTATCTTACTACCAACGTAAGAGAAAAGCCAGGAGTGGGGAAGATCCTTTGAGCCCCAAGATCCCTGTGGGCTGAACCTCCTCCGTCCAGGAGATCATAGTGATACCAGAGGAGTGACAACAGCAGAACCACGAGCCACAGTCTGAGGCAGGAGCAAGAGATGGAGTGGTGGGGTTCCCAGTCAGTGGGGCAAGGAAGGCTGAGAACCTGTAGGCAAGAGGCTGCCTTGTGGAGTGGAGGTGCCCCCAGGCACTGAATTAAGTGAGTGAGATTTGCTGAGAGAGTTAGAGCTGAACACCCTCAGCTGAGGTTTAGACTTAAGGCAGGATGGTGAGCCCTTTGCTCATTGATTGGCAGCCCTAAAAAAGCTTTGTAACCTTGCCCAAGCAGGGTAGAAGCCAGGCCAAGAGCCTGAGAGTCAGAGAGAGGCCTGCCTGAGGGCATGGCAGAGAAGAGACTATACTGACTGCATAACTGTATCCTGTACATTTCTAACCTAAATGATCATCTTTTAAGCTCCCTAATCAATCCCTCCATCATGAGCGTGCTCTGAGTTCTGTGTGGCCATTACAATGAATGATCAGACCCTGCTGAGGAGCAGAGTGCTGTGGGAAGGACATTTGGTGTCAGAACTGGTGAGAAGGTTGGTGAGTGGGGGCATGTCTGACCTCAGGCACCTAGGAATCGGCCTTGGGTGGGTACACACCTCCCTTCCCCTGTGTAGACAGAAGAGGCCAGAAGTGGTCTCTACCTTATTTCTTCCCTAGGAATCGCTCTGGCAGTAGTGGGTAGAGGCACTGAAGTCTGCTCCTTTGCCTCCCTAAAGAGGGCACAGACTGTATGGAGGAAGAGAAGATGAGCAGCACAGAGAGGGCTCCCAATGTGTTTTAACGTGTGAGTAAGCGAGGTCCTTCTCTGAAGTGTGTGTGTGTGTGTGTGTGTGTGTGCATGCGCGCGCGCGCGCAGGCACACGCATAGTGTTGGGAAAGGAGAGATGAATTTCTGGCAGTGTGCAATTCAATTCCTATTAGACACCATGCAAGTATGTGTCTCCCTGAAATAGTAGGAGGAAACAAACAAAAACCTTAACTGTCCCACATTATATGATAAAATAAATTATAGATGCATTTAAAACTAAATGCAAGGGGTTGGTTCAATTACAAAAAACCACATATCAAATATCTGATTGAGTCATATAAGACCCTAACAAAGGCCACTCAAGAGGCAGAGGATGAGTGACAGAAGAGATTTTTTTTTCCTTTTAATATCTGAACTAATTGCTTTCTGCAAGAGACAAATCTTAGGCACAAAGAAGCCAGTAAATTAAAAGTAAAGTGATGGAAAAAAAGTATTCCAAGCCAATAATGACCAAGACAGCTGGTGTGGCAATTTTAATATCAGACTAAATAAGTCAAATGCATTATAATGCATTATAATCTTATAATGCAAGTCAAAATGCATTATAAGAGACAACGAGGGGCATTATATAATAATAAAAGGAACAATTCATCAAGAAGCTATCATAATTATAAATATATATGCACCTAACTTCGGAGCCCCAAAGTATATAACATAAGCACAGGCTTGAAGGGAAAGACAGTTCTACAATAATAACTGAAGATTTGAGGGACACTCAAGTCCGTTGGCACAACAAAGCTCACAAAGACAATGCTCTGCAGCCTCCTTTGGTGAGTTGTGGCTGCAGTCTTAAAAGCTTATGTGCAGCTACCTAAGATGCAACTATTAATCTTCTCCTGTCCAGAGGAAATAAATATGAGGACAATCAAAAGACAAATGGAAACATTTAGTCCAATGGACGAATGGACCATGAAGACATTGGTCTCCTCAATCCTGAGTCCAGAAGAACTAGATGGTGCCTGGCTACCACTACCAACTGCTCTAAGGGATCATATTAGAAGGTTTTGGATAGAGTAGAGGGGAAATATGGAGCCAAAGTCAAAACTGTGAAAGAGACCAAGCTGACCGGTCAGAGAGAATTGGTGGGACTCCTAAGACTATGGCCCTTAGTCACCTTCCAGGCCCAAAACGGACTCACTCTTTCTTGTGTTAGAACAATCGACCATTACGTTCACACGGGCAGCATTTACTCAAGGACAAAGTCCAGAGGGTTGGAAATACGGAGGACTGGGAAGAAGAGACACAGGGGAGAAGCGGGGTAAGTGATGGCACACTGAGAGGATGACGATGGATGAATATGTAAAATGGATGGTCAGCTCTGTAAATCTTCACTAATCCACAATAAAAACATTAAGAAAGAAAAAAGAAATGGTTCCCTCAGCAACTGAACACAGACTTAGTGGACCCAGGGCTGGTGGGGACTCTGAGGCATGGCCAATAGATCCCTGATGGCCATGTGGCATTTCCAGTAGCACTTGACTTGAAGATGATTCTCACGATCAGGGAGCGAACCACCTCATCCCCACCCATAGTGTCCTCACCAGACAGCAGTGAACAGGACAAGGGTCATCTGTGTTTTCAGGAAACTCAAAGTCTACTCCTATGGTTAAAAAAGAACAAGACGGTGAAGCTTTATTGTCAGACTCACCCTAGCCTTCTCTCAGCCCCACCTTATCCTGTGTAATCTTGTGAAAATTCAAACTTGCTAAATCCCAGTTTCTCATCTGAAAAATGGGAATAGTAGCCATACTGTCTGAAACAGTTTGATACAGGGCCTGGCTCAGAGCAAATGCTCCTTCAGGCCTTGCTCTGACTCCCAAAGCCTCACAGCCTAATTCCTCTGCACACGTGACCCCGGCAAAAAAGTAGAAGTAGACCTCTTAAGAAGAAGAAAACTACTAACACAGACAGGTCGTGTGGCATGTTCTAAAGACTGTCTTGAGACTCTCTGTCATGGATTGAATTGTGTTCCCCACAGATATGTGTCAACTGGGCTGGGCCATGATTCTCAGTGGCTTGGCAATTATGTAATAATGCGATTTGACGCCATGTCATGATGTAACCATCGCCCCTTTCCCAGGTGAGATCTGATATGATCAGCCCTGAGCTGGGATAAGGGGATTTCACTAGAGGGTGGCCTCTACCACCTTCTACCTGCCGAAAGATAAATGCTACCTCAGTTGTACCAAGAATGAAGAGCCAGGAGCAGAGGACATCGTTTAGACCCTGGGTCTCTGCACTGTGAACCTCCTAGATCCAAGGAGAGATTGCTGCCAAGGAGCTTTCCCCAGAGCTGATAGAAGGAGAAAGTCTTTCCCGGGAGCTAATACCCTGCATCCAGACTTTTCACTTCCTAAACAATGAAAGAATAAATTTCTGTTTGTTGAAGTAAAAAAAAAATCAAAGACTTCAATAGAGCACTTTCAATAACAGGTACCACTGCATCAAGTTGATTCTGACTCACACTGACCCTCCATAGAAGCTGATAGTCTCATCTTTTCTTACGTAGAGCAGCTGGTGGGCTTAGCAACCAACCTGTGGGTAGCTGTCCAATGCTTACCGGACAGCACCACCAGAGCTCCTTTAAGGATGGACACAACATCTAAAAGACAGAGAAAATCAGTAAAGAAATGGAAGATTGGAAAAATAATGTGGACAAACTAGACACAGCACTTCCATGTAGAACATGCTACATAACAGCATCTCAATAAACATTCTTCTCTAGTGCACTTGGATCATTCTCTAGAAGAGCTCATACGTTAGGTTACTAAACACGTATCAATACATTTAAAAAACTAAACTATATAAGGTATCATCTCGAACCACCGTAAAATGAATTAGAAATTACAGAAAGAAAATTGAAGAAACATCACATATAAATTTTGTGGAAATTAAGTGATACACAATCAAATAATGAGTGAGTGAAGGAAGAAATCAAAAGAGAAATCAGAAAATACTTAGAATTGAATGAAAATGCAGCCCCCAGGGACCAGAGCTTATAGGACACAGCAAAGGCAGAGTTCAGAGAGCACATGCCTACATTTCTTTTCTTTCTTTTTTTTTTTTTAACATTTTATTCATGCCTACATTTCAAAAGCAGAAAGACCTCAAATCAATAGGTGAATTTTACAACTCCAGAAATTAGAAAAAGAAGAGGGGAACCAGGCGTCAAGCTACCAGGAGGAAGGAAATGCACAGACGGGCGCAGAGAGAAATGAAATCGAGAACCACAGCAATAAGGGTGGTGGTGGTGTGCGGGCAGCTGTTGAGTGGCTTCTGACTTCAGGTGACCCGTGCGTGCAGAATAGACCTGCAGGGTTTCCAAGGCTGTGATCAAGAAGTAGATCTTCTGGCTCGTCCCCAGACACACCTTTGTGGGGGTTCAAGGTTTAGGCTAGTTGTCCAACGTTTAACCATTTGCTCCCCCCACCTCTACCCCAGGAACTCCTAGAATAAACATATGATCAAACACAAAATACACGGAAATAAGATCCATAAATAGGGAATTCATGGCTCATTTTATTACCGTCTTTTTCACTTTTGTCCTTTTGATCATCCAAGGGTTTGTCTGTTGTCGTTTTGGCCTCTTCACCCTCCTCTAGAGAGCTTTCTCTTGGAGGATCTGGGTTGTCTGTTACGGTAAAAGAAGAATAGCTCTTGTCAGCTAATCTGTGGAAGTTAGGAATGATTTGGTCAATAACCTCAATAGATTATTTCTTTACCATCTTCTTCGATGGAAGAAGGGAATTCTTCTGGGCCTTTAAATTCTCTCATCTGGAGTTCTTCATACATCTTTTCATTTCTTTCCAATTCCCTTGAAGCTTGTGATTCTGGAAGGTGATAGTTGGATATGTTAGCAAAAGGCAGTTTGGGGTAGGTAGATAGGCTTACTGGTGAAACACCCCTGCTTCAAAGTCACACCGATCTGAGTTTCAGTTCTGATTTTGTCACTTAAGAGCAGAGTGACTCTGGCAAATTACTTAGTCTCCCTGTCCAATTCCCACTTGCCAAAATGTGGCTCACAATGAGATGATGAATGTGAATCCTTAGTTTAGAAATGGTGCACAGGAAGCCTGCTGCAGGCGGCGGCGGTTTTGTGTGCCGAGTGGGGTCTGACTCATTATAACCCTACAGGACAGACTGGAACTGCCTTGTGGGGGGGTGTAAGGCTGTAACCATAGCTGCTCAGACTGCCACATCTTCCTCCCTCCGAGCAGCTGGCGGGTTGGAAACACTGACCAGTTAGCATCTCAATGCACAACCAAGGTGCCACTAGGCTTCTGTCCAGGTCAGCTGTCGTCATCTGTATGATCAGATGTGAAGCCTGACAAACCCTCACGTCTGGCCTAGACTGCTGTGGGAGTCGGTGGGTCATTTGCATCACACTCTGAAGAACTTTAGGGTTTAGCTCTCAAACTGAAGTCACACTGATATTTCTCTTCACAGAGGTCCTGAGAAACATGCATTTAAAAACACGTGGCATTGTATGCAGGAGTTCTCTGATGAGCTGTTACTATTATCTTTCATTGCAAATGTGGAGACATACAGGTTCAAAAACCTCAGGTGGTGTGAATGGTTAGTGTGCTTGGCTGGTAACCAAAAGGTTAGAGGTTTGAGTCCCTCCAGAGGTACCTAAGCCTTCTAAGGGAGGAGTGGGTTGTGCTTTGGGTTGCTAACTGCAAGGTTGGTAGTTCAAAGCCACTCACTGCTCCAAAGGAGACAGATGAGACTTTCTGCTCCTGTAAAGAGTTACAGTCTTAGAGATGCACAGGGGCGGTTTTGCCCTGTCCCAGAGAGTCACTATGAGTAGGCATTGACTCCAGGGTCGTGAGAGATTTGTTTGTTTGTTTGAGAGGCACCTGTGAAGAACTGGTGACCTACTTCTTAAAAAACCAGTTTTTTAAAAAATTGTAAAATAGGTGGGGGTGGGATGGGTTTACATTTCAGACCCTCACCTCTCTATTTAGCAGTTCAAACCACTCATCAACACGCCCTCACCCCTAATTCCTCTTTTCTCTCTTGTGGACCCACATCATCCCTTTCAGCAAAGTCAATACCTGTCAACCCTCCAGTCCATTGATTTATCTTCCTTCTTTTGCACTCCCCCACCCCTAATACCGGAATAACCCCAGTTCTCTTGTCTACAGAATCACCTTTACTTGTTGATGCACCTGGACCTACGTCTTTGTCTTTGTTTTTATCCTTACAGTGGCAGGGACCTACTTCTGAAGTTAAAAAGGACCCCAAGCAACACCCTTTGAAAATGCCACAGAGCGCCTCTCAACCAGAGCCACCCTCTTCAGTCATCTGCCCAGATGACAACCAAGTAGGAGAGTGCCCTCCCCCATTTCCTCACACCCCCTCATATGTGCTCTTGGCCTTTTAGAAAGCATGTAGTTGTTCTTTCGACCACGCCCATGTGCATCGACAAGTAAAGGTGATACTACAGACAAGAGAATGGGCCTTATTCAAAAAGGACTCTGCCCCACAAATGCTTTACCTCTGCAGAGCTGAGTGTCCATTGTTACCCAGCATGCTGCCGGCTAACACTTAACATTAAGGGCAAGATTCTTGCCAAGAGGATGAATGTGTGCACTGAGCATATGAAGCGCTCTGAGTGCCAAGTTGGCTTCAGGAAATACGTGAAGTTACTAAAACCCGACCCAACCAAATCCACTATCGAGTCGATTCCAACTCAGATTAGCTCTAGAGGGAAGCAGTTCTGTAGGGCTTACAAGGGTTTTGGAGGCTGTATATCTTTTTTTTCTTTTAATCCTTCCCATAAGAAATCCAGTCAAGGGCAACTGGAAGAGTAAGTGGGGTGGGCACGGAGGGGGAGCAATCGGTATCCCTCAATGACAGACAACCAAAAAGGTAAGCAGAAAGTGCTAGAAAGTATCAAAACGATACCAGACAATAAAAAGATCATAAAGATCATAAAATAAAAATAGAGGACACAGCTGTAGAGAGCTAATAAACCAAGCCCATTGCCAGTGAGTGGATTCACCCCCATAATGACTCTGCGGAGGGTTTTCCAGACTGTAAATCTTTATGGGAGCAGACCACTTCCTCTTTCTCCGAAGGAGTGGCTGGTGGACCACTGTGTTTGAACCACCAACCTTGCTAGTAGCAGCTCAGCGCTGATCCGCGAGCACCAGCAGAAAGCCTAATAAATGGATTCAAATGCCTCTTTAAAAAGTGTCTCAAGTTGGGTCAAGAAATTCCAATTGTATGCTGTTGACAAGGGAAAAGACTCCATTTTATTGAATCTCTCAGAAAGATGAAACAATGTATGACGGGCACAGTTACCGCCGACCGGAATTAAGGCTGTTCTGAAGAGGGAGCCCATGGTGCAATCCCAATGCGAGGAGCTGGGGCTGCATGCTACTGTTGCCTTGGGGTGCCCATGACCTACAGTTATCCCTAGTCCCTTGGTCCCTTACCCAAAATGACAAATACTCACTGCAATGTCTTCCAGAATTTGAGATAGCAAACAGGCAGTCAAGCAAATTAAGTGTCGTGAGAATTGGGTTACCACCACTGACAGGCTGAATGTAGTTGAAGCTACATTCAACTGTGTCATCTATAGACCAGAAAAAATGTTGTTTTCCAATTTGTCTGTGAGTAGTTATAAAACCATATGCCATGGGTTCACACTAATCATTACGAATATGAATAGGGTAAAAAAGAGGGAAGTGGATAATGCACCAAACACTTAATAGTGACTAACTCTGGGGAGTAGATGCATGAGTGACTTTTTCTGTCATTTGCTTTATCCAGTGTTCTGTGCCCATTTGAGCCACACAGTGGACAAGAGAACAGATACCAGTGTGAATTCTACGCACTTGCTGACTGCCCAGTGTGAGCAAATTACATCATTCCTTGAGTCTTAGGTTTCTTCATCAACTAAAATAGTGAGAAAAACACCTATTTAATCTGTAGGCCAATTGTGAGGCTGAAATAGGATCATGCATGCAATGCACTTAGCATAGACACGGCATATTATAAATGCTCAATAGACAGTACTTAGAATTGTTTTTTCTTTTTTTTATGCCCTCAAAGAACTTCATTCACTGCCATCAAGTCAATTCTGACTTGTCGCCAACTTATAGGACAGGGTAGGAATTTCAGAAGCCATTTCACTCTCACAAGTAGTACAGCACTTAAGTACTCAGCTACTAAGGGTAAGGTTGGCAGTTCAAACCTACCAGCGGCTCTGGGGAGAAAGAACTGGCAAGTTCAGTTTGCTTCTGTAAAGATTACAGCCTTGGAAACACTAGGGGAGAGTTCCACTCTGTCCTGCAGGGTCACTTCAAGTTGGAATTGACTCAGCAGAAATTAAGCTTTTTCTTTTCTTTTTTAAATCATCGATGGGCCTCAGTATAGAGCACTGTGGTAACACTGTTGGGTACGAGTTGAACTGTTGTGGTAGTTACATAATCTGGTGTCAATTTGGGACTTTAGAGGATTAAGAGTGAAGGAGTAGAGTCTAGTCTGTCAATCAGATCATAGCTAATGAAGCCTCTGTGTGGGCATGGCTTTCTCCTAAGAATTCTGGGAAATCTGGTATTTCCTCCTTGGAGGCAGGAGACACCACTCTCTCTCTGCTCACTCCCTGGGAGACATTGCAGCTGACAAGACACATGGAACTATGCTAGTTTCCTGAGCTGGAGAAGCCTCATAGACCTACCCTGATGCAACCAGACCTCTGATGCCATAGAAGCTATGTAGAGACCCCTGCCAGCACTGAGATGCTTACAAC